TGTCAATCCCCCCCACCTCCTCCTTTGGTCTACTTCTTCCCTTTACTTCCCCTCCTTTTCATGCTTACCAAGCAATAGTTAACAACGGAACTGCATTTGTGTTCAACAAACATAAAATTAAGGAAATACAAACATGCATTAGCGATGGCAGACACTGGGCTTTTAACACCTGCTCCTCAGTGTATGTGTAATGGCTGAGTTAGGGTCACATTTATTCAGTGGATGGGGTTTTAAGTGTGCATGCGTCTGTGTGTATATTAGTTAGTTGTTATGTAAAAGTGCTGCACATCAATTTGTCAAGAGCAAAGTGGTGTGGGATGGAGATGAGAGAGAGAGACAGCTGTTGAATGCATATTTAGAGAGTGGAGAACAGAGAGTGACAGCAGAATTTCACTGGATTCACTAAGGCCTAACAGCCATTAATTGTAAAAGCGAACGTCTTTATTCCATTAATGGAAGTTATATTGTTCAATATTAAATTCATTCTCTATAAAATGCTTATCTAATAGATTCAGTCACAATTTAATATAAATTGGAGTTTTATTGACCTTAAAGTGTTTTTTATTATTTGTGAGATAGATAGACATACATGGGTGCATAACTGTGAAGATAAAGAAAATGTTTAGCTTTTAGAGAGCATTACTGGACTGATGAATACAGGCCGAGAAACACCGCACACTCTACACAGGTCAGGAAAAAGCAATGTTGCAGTGAAAACATAACAAATAAAGTTCAACTCACAGGTCATTCAAGGAAAGCATTAATCAGAGGAGCAAACAAGCTAACCTATTGATATTCTGGAGGAGCTGCAGAAATCCACAGCTCAGCTGGAAAATTCTGGCCATGACTAATACTGGTTTATAGTTTTTTGGAAGTGTCTCGACAAACAAGCATATTTGCAAAATTCATTTTAAAGCCAAACCCTTTTCCTTGGGGACCATTGTACTACATGTTTCAGATGTGTTCCTGCTTCAGCCCTTCAGATTGAAATGATTGTGTTAACTCCTTAGAATGTCATTAAGTTGAACCTTTCTCCAATTGTGCTGACCTGGGAAATGCCATTCATGCTTTCATCACCTGATTCTGTTATTATTATGTTGTCTATATCTCTAAACCTAAATCACCTTCAGCTTGTTTAAAACACAACTAGAAAACTCCCAGTGTCGTACATTATTGCAATTTTTATGCTTAACATTGGCTCCCAGTTCATTAAAAAAAAGTTCAATCTATCTCTAGCCTCATGCATCCTTATCCATATGAAATTCTAAGTGTTTGTGTGAGTGGAATGTCACTGAGATCTTCCAGTCAGCTTACACATCATAAACACGCAGCTAAAATGCTAAAATGACTCTTGACATCAGCACATTGCAACCAGCTTCCTTTGGACCATGATGCTATCGCCCAAACTGGGTCTTTTTAAAACCCAGTTAAAGAACTCTTTAGAAACGGCTTAATTTTTCAAATTTTTTTTATTTTGGCCTCTGTGTTTGGATCTTTAAAGTGAGGGGTTATGGTTAGCAAGTGAACAAATAAAAGAATGAACGAAGAATATATGTGTGTGTTTTAATGACTGAGTCCCACCGCATCCTAGATAATTTTAATAATGAATTCTAAAGGCCACGTATTTCCTCCCCTTGAGAGTTATGTACTTCTTTTATTTGATCCATAACATAAAATTCCTACAATACACAGAAGTTTGTGGTTTAATGTGAAAAATTTTTTGAAAAAAACATTTGATTTATATAAAACCTTTAGCAAGGCAGAATTTAAAAGAAGAAGTAGAGAAAAATTAGTCTAAGGGAGAATTAGACCTCGAACAAACACACCCTGGTGCTGCAGGCCGTGTGTCAGCGTGTTTGATGGAATGGGAGAGACAGCCCATGGAGATTCCTCCCGACTCCCTGAAAACTGCAGCTGAGGGTCACAGCCGGGGGTAAGGCTGCGTTCGGCACCCTTCAAAGCCCTACAGACATAAGCAATCCATGTGCTTATTCCAAAAAAATTTATTTTGAACCTACGAACTGAGCATTTGAGCAACAGATGCATCCCACTGTCCACACAGACACACCACATAGCCTGCGTAACCTTAGGGAAACACTTGCGTGACATGGCTGCAGTCTAATAGGATCAAGCATGAGTGAGTAATAGGTGATCCAGCAATGTCCGCCCACTGGACACAGACATCTTGAGATGCGCATTATTTTACGAGATGCAAAGTGAATAGGTGAAAACATGATGATGATGAATGGTGTGGGGGCGGAGGCCATTTGAAAGCAAAATAGAGGAGACAGCTCAGCATTGTCACATGCTATTTTTGCTTCCTCGTTTGATTAGGCGACAGCTTGGTGGACAAACCAGTTTTGATTTTTCCAAAGGCTCCCATCTCCGGCTGGAGACACACAGAAGCCACACCATGCCGCTCTGCGTTCAAATAATGAATGGGAGTTGATTACTAATAGATTCTGGTGCTGGTCTGACAATTTGATTGGATGTTATGACTTATTATCTCTTTAAAGCATAACTCACAAATGCAGTTGTTAGCCAAGAGAGTGTTGACTCTAGCAATTAAAAAGCCACCTCATGTGCAGTGACAAAATCAATGATTCAACACGCTGTGGTGGGTTTAATAGCTTTAGAGGACACAAAGAGCTCAGGGGGTTTAAGGTTAAGGAAAAGATCTATATCGAAAACATAACTCGGACTGGGCAGAGAGCCTCGGATCCCGCTGCAGCTATGGGGACTGGAAATGCCGGGTGATGAAGGTGGGAAATGGAACAACGCATAGTGTGAGCAGCGTCACTGCAGGCTGCTGTCTACTTGCTGTTGGTGCATGCTGTTGTGAAGCTGTGCCTTATATGACTTTACATTATAAACACTGCAAAGGGTGTCAGCTTCATTCAACGGTGTCCTGCATTAAGTGTCAGAGCGCTCTGGTGAGAGGAGTAATGATGCTATGGGTGCGTATAAAACTATGGCATGTATGCACAATGCAAAGCAAGAGTTCAAATGACACAGTTCAAAATTCATTACAACCCGTCCTGCTGTGTTTTCATTATTACAATCATTGGAGCTGACATTATCATTTTGCATTTTCATTAAAACAGTTTCCCCTATTTCAGTAATATGAAAACATTTTTATTCTCCATCAGGGGATCTGCAACGCTCTCTTAAAAAATAACAAACCGGTTTCTCTGAAAAGTGATTCATTTTTCCAGTTTGTTTAAGAACTTATTTATTTGCTTTTTGCTGTTAAATGATTATGCAGTTTATGTCAAACAGATACATTTTTGTTACTCAGGAGTTTGCCAATAAAATGCCTGCAACTTTTGAAGATTTTCTGTCATATTTTTTTTAAGGCTAACAACAGTGACATACATCAGTTCTGCTGTTGAGAAAGTAGCTCCTTAGCATGTTACTGCCACCACCATGCCTCACAGTACAATGTCCACTATACCACTCCAAACATTTCTTTTCATTGCTGCCAAAAGTTAAATTTGGTCTTACTTTACTTTATTCAGTAGCTGTACGATTACTTACTGTCATTAGTGGATTTAGATCCAGGCTGAGGGAGTTGGCTTTGGATCAGGGACTTCTGTCTTGGTCACCAACTTTCCCCTCCATATTGGTGTAAAACACCCTTTTTTATGGGCTGGACACCATATTTTTTCGCAAGTGCCAGTTCAAAGAAAGCTGGAGGCTTGGGCTGCTGTACATCCTAACAGGTTTTTCTTAATCAGATGTGCTCCTCCAGAGCTTGGCAGCATACAGAAAGGTTGTACTTCTATAAAGCTAAGTACAATGTTGATATAGAGTCTCAAAATGTGTAGAGATCTCCAAAAGTCTTTTCCATTTTAATTAAATCTTTAATTTCTTCCTTTAGCCACTTAAGCTTCCCCTTAGTCTGTTTATTGCTCTGGTTATTGACTGTTGTCATATGATTGCTTTTTATGTTTGGGGTGAGCTATACATGCAGTACACTGACTTAATTATTTAGATCCACTACTGTGGTATGATTTGAATGAACTTACTAAATCTTAAGCCCAAAATAAAATTGTTTCTAAACTCAATAGCTGTTGAATGCTGCAAACATCTTAAAAACAAAGTTTGAAAGCATTAATCCTTTGTCAAAACCTGCAAATACTCGTCACCCATTAGGTCTATGTATATATTTTCAGACTGAAAATACATTAACATTTTTAAAGAGAGGTAACATTGTTGTGTGCATTTTAGTCACTAATATCTGTGGATTCTGGCTGTAAAGTCTGTTGTGGCTGTTATAAAACATAATTATAGGTGTTAATTTTGTCACTTGCAACTGACCACTGAAGGATTATTCTATTCTATTCTATTCTATTCTATTCTATTCTATTCTATTCTATTCTATTCTATTCTATTCTATTCTATTCTATTAATACATTATCTAATCTTCAGAGCCATCAGACTCCAGTTTTTTCACATTTTAGAGTTGCAAAGAAACTCTTAAATGTCAATAGTACCTAATGTCAGAACAAATATGCTGGTAGTATCAAAACATGACTTTAAATCTAAGTGAAGCAGGGGTATAAATACCTCTGGGTTTTACTGTTAAGATTTGTGAAGCTGTAAGAGTGCTCTCATTGATTCACTCTGTGTGCGTAGATCGGCTATGAGGCGAGTCGTGTGGTGGTTTGATGGTGTTTGTCACCCCGAGCATGGAGCCACGTCAAACTTTGTTAGCCCAGTTCATCCTGGCCGAGGTTGTAACGCATCTCCCTGATTTCCTCCTATCAACGATACGCTAGATGTGTGGAGATGCCTCAGATGTGGGTTGTCTCTTTATGAGCAGTCATGCCCTTGTTTCAAACGCCTTATCAGATGAACTGACAGAAAGAAGAAAGGATGAGGAGAGAGGGGGGGCAAATATTCATCTTATAGAAAAATACCTTGGAGGGAGCGAGAAAAGAGGAGTAAAGGAGTGGGTGTTGGGAAGGAGAAAAGAGGGAGAGGGAAGCGTGTGTGTGTGAGAGTGAGAGAGCTGATTAGATTGGAGAGAGCCAAGGAGGTATGGCTGTACTATTGAGCAGAGAGGGAGCGTGACTGAGTGAACGCAGAATCACAGCAAAGTCCTCAAGACGGCGGATGGACTGGACCTAAATCAACAAACTGACAAAGAAAATCTGGATGGATACCATGTATAAAGGATGAAGTATTTGCCTTAATGAGCGAGTATCTCTGCATTAGTGTTGCAAGGAAACCACCGGGAGAAAAAGGAAAGGAAAAAAAAATCAAAAACGGACAACTCGTTTCTCTCTCTTGGAAGGAGAGCTGTGAGCCGGAACAGAGTCAACGGTGGGACTCAGAGGGATTTTAAATATACTCTCAGTAAGTACGGACACAGGCAGGGAAGGAGCGTGTTTGAATGAATGTTTCAGGCTGCTTCTGATGGCTTTTTTTTCCATCAAGAAACCAGATAAAATGAAAAAAAAAAGGGGAAGCACACCAATGATTTTTCTGTTGTGACATGCAGTGTCAAATAGTATTTTTCCCCCTTTGATTTGAACAAGCAGCCCAGACTTGACTGTGCGTTTGTGCCTCTTCCTCAGTGCCGGGGTGTGTGTGAGTCAGTGTGTGTAAGCTGATAATAGCAGCTCCATTGGTATTCAGCGGAGGGAGCTCCAGGATCTCGCTGCGCCTTTTCCCCAGGATGGGATCACAGAGCAGGGATTGTGCTTGCCTGAGGAGAGCCCGCTGAAATGGGTGAGTGTCTCTCCCCTTCCCCCTCATCCTCCCCACCTCCATCACTCCATCCTCATCGTTCTTAAATGTGCCACATCTCACCAGTTAACTCATCTACCTCTCATTATAGTTTTTATTTACAACCTTTATTTTTTTTTTGTACTTCTTAGGGGCTCCCTCTGTTTTTCCTGTGTCTCACCCACTCACCCTGCCAGTGCTCCACCTGTTTCCCCTCCATCTCCTCCCATCCCTACACCCCTCCATCATTCCCAAAACAGAACTGTCCAGTCTGATGGATTTGGTTAAAATTGCTCTGGCTCACTTCATTTTTGCCCTTGCCCCCCTCCATACCACTCCACCACCACTACCTGCATTCCCTCTTTACCGCTCTCCCTCCTCGGTGGTGTCTCCCCTCCCCCCTCCCCCCCTCTTCCTCTCTCTTCCAGCTCTTCTCCACATTCTGTTTGAATTCAGGCTCAGCAGAGATGTTAGAGTCTATCCTGACACAGCCAATCAGCAGTGATTGCTGTGTGTGTGTATGAGAGGATTGCTGTTTCTGTGCATGTGTCAATCACCCTTTTTTTGGTCCTTATTTTTGGTGTTTGCCTGGATCTCTGTCAGCCTCAGGGTTTTGGCCCAAACAAACAAAAGGTTATGAGGTAGATCAGTGTAATTAATTGCCTGCAGGATGACAGATGTGACACATGGCCCACCCCTTCTCATTTCTTTGAACTTCACACTGATATACCTTCTGCACACCAATTCACACCCATCTAAATCTCTTCACACCTGCAATGACATGGCATGCAAATGTTCCCAGCGGAGGGACACACAACAGCGGACACTGAGCTCTGACCTAACTAAGTGTGTAGGAGCAGTCAGACTGCCGTCCTAAACGCTCCTCGGAGAATACGGTGTCAGAGGAGAGCCATATCTATCCACAGAGTCGTATTGATTGCAGCTGATAAACTGAAAAGCCTGTGATGCTTTATTGCAAATGAACCTTTGCCTTATTGTGCTCTGTCAGGAGATGCCAGTTTAATGAGTTCGTAAAAGAGCTAATATAACAACTGCATGGATAAGCATTTTTTAATGTTTCTTTTTTGAATTAAAAAGGGAAACCTATTAGAAAACTGTGAGCAGAGGGAGTTTTTCTCTGATTTTAATTTTTCATATTCAACAGGTGCTAACTGTTGCATAGTAACAGGGAGACAAGACAACCTGTTCAGTAAGATATGACACCTTGGTGCTATTTTTAAATCATGCTAATTGTCTTTTCTGTTTAACCAAAGATGGTGTGATTTAAAAAAGTAAAAAAAAAATGAAGGTAAGGAAAGGAAACAGCAGGAATCTAAGTCTCTTTATATTAAAACCAGAATTAGATTTGCACCTGTGCGCAACCTGTCTTTTTAGAATAATCACTACCTTGAGGAGGAAGATTAATGGATAGTGGCATTTTTTCATGAAAAATAAGGTGACAGTTGCCCAGGGTGGTTGGAGAAGGGGAGTCTGTGAGAAAGCTTGAGTGGTGGGCTGATGCACATTCCCCAGTTATAAAAAAAAGGATTTAAAAAGTGAGCGTTTTGTCACTCAGTGGTGCCCTGCATGATTGATTGTTTGATTTGAAGGGAAGAGGACTTCACAAAGTAGGCATTTAGAGAAGAAACAGAAAGGAATATGTCAAATAAGGAGGACTTAAAAGTGTTTATCACATTTTAAGACAAGAACAATGGGAAACTAAGTAAGTAATGATATCAGGAGTCATCAAATGCAGCCCATGATGAAGCAATGCTTTTGTTTTAAATGTGTAAAGCAGCCTGCAATCTAAAAGAGGTTGACTATGGAAATATTTCCCTTAATAAAATGTTAGTTTGTAAAAATCTGCCTTCTGATGTTAACGACATTGAAATAATTTTACTACCATCCATCCATCCATCCGTCTGTCCATCCATCCATCCATTTATCTCCAGCAGCCAATGAGTGAAAGGCAGGGTAAACCCTGGACAGGTTGCCAGTCTATCACAGGGCATCTTTGCATTAATGCATAGATATTTTAAATGATCATATTATAAAAGTGTTGTCTTTAGCATCCATACAGCATAACCTGACCAACATAATTTGTTTTACTTTTGCTTAAAATCACCAGCAAATTTTTTCTTGATTCAAACAGAAGTTCACTTATAGAACTAATAATCAGGACTTCTGTGCGCTGAAATTCTACAAACTTTTCTGTAATTTAAAGTCCTTTCAATAAGGTTAGTAAGCTTCTAGTCATATTATAAATCTTTTACTTTTTTGTGCTTTTCTCCCTTTCACTAAAAGCATCAAAACTCAAAACTCCCACCATGCATCATCAATCAGCATATGCTCTGATGCACTTACTTTGATGTGAATAGAAATCTGATATAGGTGAGAGACATGCAATTTAAAGCACACATTGGTATAACCTTGTAATTTTTTTTTACTTTCAGCTCGATTCGAAGCTGCTATCCCCTATCAAAGAACCCTCAACACATTTCTTTTTCTTTTTTATATCTTAAAATTCTTAGAAAAAAAGTTGAACAACCTTTGAACAAGCATGTCGATTGGTTCTCCTGGTAAGATGACAGAGAAAGTGTGTCAGGGTAACTGGAGCCGTGCTTGGATGGAGAACTAAGACTTAGCCCCCCTTACTTGTTTCTGTGCTTATATTTAAATTTCCCCCACTACAATAAAAAAAGAAAAGGAAAAAACAAACAAACAAAATATTTAAACCACTTTTGTAAACCACAATTGCCTGTTAGGACTGCAAGTTCTACCTTAACAGTTAGCTCAACTAATTGACTAACTTACATCAGCTTGTTTTGGTTTTGAGATGCTACATATGGCACATAATAAATATGTTTATATCATATATTTGCTTAAGTGTACATATACTTTTACAATAACTATAAACAAATGTTATACTTATAACTTTTTTAACTGCAATAGTCAATAATTGACATTATTTTAGCAGCATTCTGCTCTCTTGTTTTAAATCCAAGGCAGCTGGAACCTGTTATACATATTTGTTTTTTTATTTTTATGCAAATGTGGTGATACCTTGAAACCATGGCATTTCTACTCAAGGTTATAACACTTCCAGAATCTCCAAGTGTATGCATTTATTCGGCTCACTGGTGACATTATACTGTTTGCGAAGAATGCGGGGTCCTGCAGTCTTTTGTTCTCTGCTGACACTCAGGATGGAATTTTTCCTGTTGTTTATAGCAAGATTTAAATTTGAAATAAAGCAAAACACCTTAACTAAATCTGCGCCTGACTCCTGCTAAGATCCAGTCTTGCCCTGCTTCACCTGATGCATTTTAGGGGATAGATTTGAGGGAAAAGAAGAAAGCAAAAAGAATTGCATGGAAGTTGCAAAGGTGTAGTTATTAAATTGCACACAATAGAAGAGATGTCATGTGGAGACTGTGTGAAGATGAGCTTGTTAGAAGAGCGATGGGATCAAATCTTAGCGTGAGTGCTGAGGACTAAGGAGCAAACAAGCAACAGAGTCGGAGAAGGAGTGACAAGGACAGAATAGACAGCAGGACGACAGCTTGGGAGGAGTGTGACAGGCAGGAGAATGACATACGGGATAAGGCAAAGTGACACAAATGCCGCCAACCTAACCTTTCATGCACTCTTGCTCCTCTTCTTTTGTACTTTTTACCTCTTCTTCTCTTTTCTAGACCCAAACCCTTGGAGCAATGGACACCAAATGGGCAGCATGGAGACCAACGTGTTCCCTTCAGCAGAAAGCTTTCCACACCTAAGCGCCTCCACCAACTCCAGCCATCCACTCAAGCCAGGGCTAAGCCTGCAGAGTTGAAGTAGGGGTTTGCCTGGAGCTGTCTGCAGAAAACAGAGATAAGAAGGCCTCAGAGGAGTCAACGTGTTACAAACCAGTCAATGCGTTGAGCAATTAAGCTGCTTGAACTTCATCCGCAATGAAATATGATGCAGTGATGCTTGAGCAGTGGTTCAGAGCTTTTGGACGTGTGTGGATTTATCAGCTGGATATTTTGTTGAGGTTACGGCACTTTGGGGCGCATTTCCGAGCTGGATCACTTTCCCCACATTCGTTTGTGGGCAAAAGCGAGTAATTGAAAATTAAACCCCTGGAGGCTAGTTTTATTTTATTTATTTTTTTTCCGAAGGAGCAGCTTGTATGTTTTTCCTCAGATTTCCTGTTCTTTCTCTTACATTGCAGAAAAATACATTATGAAGCAGCACCATTCTTCTTCATCCTCCCTCAGTGACGGAGAGGGAAGAGGGACACACTGTCCAGAATAGATAACGAGTAAGAAGACAGCCGCTGAGAAAGAGGAGGGTGGGGTGGGGTGGGGGGGCAGAAAACAGAGGGACAGGTGGAGAAAATAACAGATAAAAGGGTACAGCCAAAAGGAGAGAGTCAGAGAAAATAGCAGAATTAACTTGGATTGTCCACAATCCTCTTTTTTTTTTTTTAGACCTTCTGTAATTTGTCTGGGTTGTTTTGGGGAGTAGTTAACGCCATGGGTGGGAAGATTTCAGCCAGAGGTGAGGGGTGGCTTGAGCAGAAGTTGAGGTTTATGTCTGGTCTGAAGCTGCTGGCTCTGCATGCTGGTGTTTGAACCAAACTATGGCCCAGTAAACAGACACCTGTAAGGATTGACAGAGAAGCTCTGTGACAGAAAGGAAGACAGCTACACAGCCTAAGTGTCAGGCAAAAAGGCAGCAGACACCCGGAGCTGGCAGAGCCGGCGTTCTGCATTTCATTGTCATTCCGCTCTGTTTTCAGAGGAGTTAAGAAGAGAAGAGAAGCATTCCTGTGTTTGTGGCTCCTTCAGCATCCATCCAAGTCAGTGGCCCCCCCTCCTCACTGCCTAATATACAGCAAAGGAGGGTTGGTACTAAAAAGGAAATCCAGGTTGGAAAGAGAGAGGGTGGGAGGCAGAGAGAGCGGGAGAGAGCAGGTGTCAGAAATCCTCCCCTTCATCTGCTTGTCATTTACTTCTTTATGCTCGTTCGTTTTTTGGCAAGGCGATTGATTTTCTGATGCTGCCGTTACTTCTATAAGCCCTCTGCAGTCCCTGGGTGAAAGCAAGACTGAGTAGAGCAGAACACGACCACAACAACAAACAAAAAGGGAAAAGGAAAAGATGGAGCCCTTCTCATTGACTGACTTTTCACCCCCTCCTTTTCCTATTTGTCGAGATGGCCTCTTGTTATTTTTTCTCTAAGTAAAGGAAAAGAAGAAAAACACCCACCCAATCAATCCCTCATTCTGTTTTGTACACAAGGACTGAACCTCCCTTTTCATCGGCTGTTTCTCTACATGGATTATTTTTTCCTCTGAGTTCTAAACACTGGATTGCTCCAGATTTCCTCCATACGGCCTCCCCTCTAATGACAAGGGCCAATTCCTGTAATTCCCCCTGCAGGCATCCATCCGCTTCACCCCTCGGCCGAGGTGCAGGAACTCTGTGGACCCGGATCCCAGTGCCCTTGTTGACTCACCACCACAGCTATAATATGGCACAGTCCCTCTGATCCTGCCTGATTTATTCTGTAAGTAAACCCCTTTCTATCTATCCTTGTAAGTTTTCACATGATCACTACAGGTCATTAGCATTCATTGAGCTCTTGTATTGTAAGGAGTGGTCTGTCTTACTGCAGTGTTTGGTTTTTTTGATTCCTTCACAGCGGATTTGCTTTCCTGTGCTTCCTCTGCTTCGGGCAGAGAGCTCATATGTGTGTGTATGCGTGTTGGGGGTGTGTGTGTGTCTGCCAAACACTGAGGTTGATCTCAGATCCAAGCTTCTAAGAGAGTCAGTGTCAGAATAAGAGGCATGAGGTACTTTCCTTCAGATGTGTGACCCCCCAGGGTTCATTTGGACTAATTAATGAGATTTTTGCAAATTTCTTAGGTTCTGTTTTAATGTACTTGCACTTCTGAGGCTACATTAGAAAGTGTTCGCATCAGCTACTATGAATGACTTCCTGACTGCTTCTTTGTTGTCTTGCAAAGGTATTCACATCCTTTGAATCTGTCTAGACTCTGTCATGTTACAGCCACAAACTTCAGTGGGTCTTTTATCGCGGTTGGATGAAATGAGCTAACATAAAGAGCATAATTATAAAGTAGATGGAAGAAAGTACATCTTTTTAACCTTCGTTACAAATTAATATCTGAAAAATCTGCTGTAAGTATATATTTAGCTTTCTTCATTCTAATACATCAAAATAAAACCCAGTGCATCCAGTAACTAGTAAAGAGAGCTGTTACTGCATGATTATTTCCTTAAATATACCCAGGTGTTGTGCTGAGAACTTAACTGGATATATCTTAAATGAGTTTTGAGTTGTATGCGTCCCTTCTAAAAAACTTGCCCATGTGAAACCTGAAAGAGCAGGATCTGTTTTTGAATGAGTTCTGTGACACAGAGCGCCACTTTACGGCAGTCTGAGCTTCCTTCAAACACGAGAGGTAACCAGGTTGAAGTTGTTGTTAGGCAACAATTCAAACATGACATTTACCTCATCTGACATATTCTTGGTTCTCCGATGTAGGATTTAATGTAGAGGGAAAAATGTGGCCTTGTTTTTATAATTAACTCAATGAATGTCTGTTGTTCCATTTGTAGATACCTAAAATAAGATTCTTCCTGATCAAAATCACATTCCTAGACTGAACTGTAATAATATATTTTCTAAACTACATTGTTGCAGCAGAAACTGAACTTTAGAAAGTAAAAAACAAAACAAAATAGTAATAGTAAGAATTAGGTTTTATATACCTAGAAATGTTTACATATTTTAAGTTAGCATATCAGCTTGAATGATTATGTATTTCTAATATCTGAAATGCTTTTTCTTCATAGTCAAAAATATTACAAATGCTGAACAGTAACAATAGGATTATCGAGATCTGAAATTAATTTCTAGACATCCAGAATGTTTATTCTAGATGTGAAGAATATCATTTTGTTTGAACTGGTCATTTTGACAATGAAAAATGTTTTTCACATATCAGGAATACATATTTAGTAATACTAATACATACCAAATATCTGTTGTGATCACGATAAAATTACGGGTTTATTTCTTGAATGGCAGTAGATCAATGTATCTATTTAGGGGAAATCACCTGGCAGAGAATACAAATGTTTTAATAAATGGGACCTGTTGATCATCTCATGAGATCCTCCTTATGTTGATTCTGTTTTCAATCACACAGGAAATACTAAGTGTCTGTTTGCAGCCACTTCGGATGTTATTATTCCAATAAATAGTTGTTATTAGAGGTTATCAGTCCCATAGAATGGTTTTAGATTGTGCCAGTAGGCGCGGTAGGTTGTTATTACTGAATGAACCGTAATCCTAAGGGAATTACTTTTTATCCCTTGGAAAATAATCTATTTGCGTAATCCTAAAATTTCAGTAGTTCTTAATGTACTGTAAAATATATAAAAATGAGATGATCCGCATCTCGCTCATATTAAACAAACCCAAATCAAGTGATCTCATGTCCTGTCAACTGAGTTGTAGAATCCTCTCCCTATAAATATTTAATTCTCTATGAAACTGATCATTCTCTAAATAAGATCCTCGTCTAAAGGACATGTAATGTTTGTTTTTTAAAACATAATGTGTCTAACTGACTTAGTGAATGATTTTTTTTATTTTTATGTACCAGACTACGACAGAAATCTGGTTAAATCAGGAAATAAAACAGCGTGATTGGCTGTAAGGAGAGTGGAGACAGAGGACACTCAGAGTTTACTGAACAAAACCTGCTCAAAACAATCAGGTTTGCTCTGGGGAGAACGTTACTATGGCAACAGAGACAGAGGTTTCCCATATTTCGGATTTAGTGAGCCATCTTCGTGAAACGGACCTCTGGGTTGGAGAAAACTCATGTAGGGGAATTTGCCAATGTGTAAAAAAGCTACTCTCATCAGAAGAGAAGCATGGTTCATCACAGCACTGATGGCATCATGCAGGGGAAATATCTTTGTTCTAAAATAAACAAAACAACGAAAAGCTGCAAAGGAAAAATTGAGCCAAGTCTGGGGGTTCATCTTCAAGTTAACCATACAGCTACGATGTAATACTTTAAAAAATCTATCAAATCAAAAGATACTGATGAATTAAAATGAGCCAGTTGAAATTCAAAGACCTTAAAGCTTACTTTCATAAATGCTGCCCATTCTGACTGAACTTGAGCTAAAAAATATAAGTAACCTTCAGTCTTCTTACGTCCATAAAGGACTGGATACAAATACTTACTAATCTCTTTTAGTCTCTCATCTACAACAGCAATAAAACAAATTTAATATTGTGAATGTAATTTGACAAAATATGGAAATGTACATCAATGGCAGTGAATGAATAGTATTACGCTCTGGCTGCAGATCATTTTCAATTCTCTTAATCCTCAAATGAGTTTCTTGAATGAAACTGAACATTTATTCATAGTCCCTGCTATGCCCTGCATATTAGTAAGCTCGTCTATCTCCATGGACACATCTTTATACACTCCCACAGTCACCAGGCCCTCAATCAAGATAGTACCTTCAAACAGACCAATGAACTGTGAATAACGCCATTATACAAACTCCCAGCTCTGAGCATTTCAGACAGGAAAGATTTGAAGGATATACAGAAGGAAGCAAAAAAAAAAAAAACTATCCTGGAAACAGAAGAACAAGATGAGAAAGAGAATAAGAAAGGAGGCAGAGAGAGTATAAGAGAGAAAAGCAAGAGAGGCAGACGCAGAGGAGGGCGGGAATCAGCGAGGAAAATGGGAGAGCATGGGTATAGAGAGGCCGCAAGGCAGGAAAAGACCTCTGCTCCATGGGAGCACTCTGATGGGCTTAGCAAGGCCCCGCTTTGTTCACGCTGTTGGTCAGCCTCTCAGAATTAAGCTTAACTAAATAATACGATTACTGCAGCTGCACACTGATAACACGCCGCTGCCGATCCCCTTTGTCACTGTCAGAAAGCCCAGAGAAGAGAGGAGGAGTGGCATACGATGGCATCAAAGGCATGACAGAACCGACTACATTACTCTGTCACAAGGGCCTGAGCTTCACATCACGGCCTCAGAAAAACAGACGGGAGCTGGTTTCACTTTTTATCTGAAGAGTTGCCATGCAGACAAAGATAGTGAGAATATAAACAAGGCTTCTCCACAAATAAATACACAATGTCATTATGTGCTTTCATGCATCACCAGCTCACCTCATCTCTTCTCTGTAACGCTGCTTTTTAAGATCCTAAATCCCATATATTACTCGACTGTATATGTGTAAGCATAAACAGCAGCTCTAACAGCCAGACATCTGGCCCCTTGGCTTAGTGGTTTACACTGCATCCTCTGTGTGGGCTTTTTGTTTTATGTTTCTCAGCTTGACAGCTTTGACACAAATTCATGCGAAGTTGACCTTGCAGTTTGAAGTGTAATAAGAGCTGAAATCCAAAGCTATGCTGCACATCGATACATGTTCTCCTACCAGCAGATAAATAGTCTTCCATCCCATGGGAAAGAGGGGGGGAAACAAGCGGGCAGCAGATACTACTGTCCAGTTTTCTCAGCAGAGGTGGAGTACATCTTTCTGTAGCCCGTGGCTCCCAGAGTAGAGAGCTAATATAGAGGCTGGCCCAGGCTCAGCCCCCCTCCTATGAGATATGAAGCATTTCCACTCTTCTCTCAGTAGGAGCAACTATTTGCCTGCAGAGCTAAAGATTAGCTTGGAGGAGCAACTGAAAAGACACATTTACCATGTGATGATTTGTCATGAGTATCAGAAAACATTTGAGAGCTGATGCCTCTGACAAAAGCAGGACGTTTTGGAACTGGAACTTTATTTTCCATGTTTATCAGCCTTGGAGCGACAAATGAAAAACTTTAGGACCATGAGTTCCTTAGATGATTAGATTTGGATTAGGCCTTTTAAAGTCCTGGGGAAGTCATATTCAAATTTTAAATCATTCTGGCTTAAACGTATATAAATGTACTTTTTATTAGACCACATTGTCCCAAAAGTTAGAAAATTTCTATCTAAAAAAAAATCCTGTCTTAAAATCCGTATTTTTCTTTTTCATTATCTTATGCAGGCCAGTAAGTTATATGTCAGCTTGTACACCTAAATTCGGCCAATCATAAATCAACGGTCATCTGTCAATCAAGTTTTTTTGTTCATAGCCTCTTAATTCATATGTCACAGCTAATGTATGTAATGGTTGAAATAAGAATCAATTTACTTTACCAGTGAGTTACGTCTCATTGTTCACAGGTATGGACGTCTGTAACTTCAGCAGGCGTAGAGCTAACAGAACTGGCAGCGTTGCGAGGCAAGGAGTCAAACATGTACGGCTGTAAGCCTTCCACACCAAACCAAGCTTCTGCCGCCCTGGCCGCCCTCTTCCACAACATCTTCATCCCGCTTTCCTCCTCTAAATAAAAAATGTATGATGGAGGAGAATCATCCACGACCTCTGACACAAAACTCTCGTCCTCGTCTTGCATGCTTCGGCTGTCAATAGCGTTCCTTGACAGTGTGGTT